TCTCTCTCTCTCTCTCTCTCTCTCTCTCTCTCTCTCTCTCTCTCTCTCTCTCTCTCTCCCTACTTGAAGATCTCGACTCTCAATGCATCCGCTGCTACTCAGCTGTCTCCTATTACTAGCTATTTGGCTATGGCCGCTTTCCCTCTCAGTGCAGTGCTGCCTAGCAGGGCTCTCGCGCGCATGCTACTCGCACCAGTTCGTTTTTTTCTTGGGGCACAGCACGATGCCGGTCGGGGAAAACAACCTTGGACGTAGTGGTGGTGTACGGTTCGGCCTTTCAGATAGACTAGCAGATAGCTGAGCCTGTTGTTTGTCAAGAAATGTGTTATGTGAGTGATTGAAAGTTGAACCGCAATGCACCAGAGCATCAACACGTTCCCATACGCAGATGCGAAGATGACATAGTAGATTTGGAGAGGGACTTCACACCAAACCAGACTCTGACATACGCACAGTGCAACAGCTCAACAATCAAGAAGAAATAATGAAGAATTAAAGAAACTATCAATTCCCAGTCCCTCGCCTCTCTCCGGCTCGATCAGCACCACAAAGAAGCTGAAAGAACCCTAGAGTCTAGAGTCTAGACTGATATTTTTTTTGTGAAAACGATCCAAAGTGTTTTGAACGAAAACAGAGCGGAACCAGAATTATACGGTCGGCAATAACAGAGCCAAGCTGGAATTCTATCTTGTGTTGTGATAAAGGGCCTCGTGAATGTGGCATCGTATTTTTTACGAGTGTGCATGGGTTGCAGAGTACCTCGTGAAGGACATTACAGAGCGACATTATCTTGCAGCCTGTGGAGTCTGGACTGACTATTGTCCCCCCCCCCCCCCCCCCCCAAAAAAAAAAAAAAAGAACGTGTATGGTCATCATGACAGCTGCTGCTGTATTTGGGTCAACTTTGAGTCTCAATCCAGCGATAATGACCTTACGTAGTATTCGGGGGACGACGGATGCATTCTGAAGTGAAGGACAGGAGAGAGTTGGGACACTGCGTGAAAGTTCAGCATGAGGCAGAGTAACCAGAGCAGCCATCGTATTGGTTGGATCATCTGCACATTGCCACATTATGGCCCACATACATGTATCAGCAAAGGATGCGCAAAAGAAAGCAATGGAAGTTGAGAGCTATGGAAGCGAGAGGCACAGTGGTCGGATCGGCTGCACATTGCCACATTACATAGCCCACATACATGTATCAGCAACGGATGTTGGGCAAACCAAACCTGAAGTGCGACGAAGAAATTCAGCTTGAACTTGAATCGGACATCATCTCCAGGTTCAACCCGCGGTCCATACAGATTGAAAAGCACTGTCGAAAAAACAGATGCAAATCGATTAAATGTGCTGTTGTTGAAAAACTTACATGCAGATGCAATGAATGAATGTGGGAAAGCCACCCAGATTCAACACAAATTCAATGTGGCCTACCGGTAGTGTTGCATACTCGTGAAACACAGTCATAAGTATGGCGCAGATTCCCAGAACCGACCACATAATACAGAGTAAGTACAATTACAGCGGAAGACTTCGTAGTAAGTTCATACATGGACTGACTCAAACCTGACTCAGACTGCAACCAATCTCTCACAAACATACATCGGTGGAGTGATAGCCCTGGCCTTGGACTTAGACTCGGAAGAAAAGGCCAGGGTCGACTCTCATACACAGACGGATGGAGGGGAGGAGAGACGAAGGGAGGAGGAGAGGGAAGATGACGTCAACTCGATGTTTCCAAAAATAGTATCTTAAAATGTCAGAAGTAGCGAAAGTCCGAATGTCGCGAATACAGAGTCTCACAGTGTCTCAGAGATCGATCTCACAACGTCAAGATACATCTCCAGAGGTAGATGAAGTCAGATCCCGAAGTAGTCCTCAACCAACAGTCTCAATGTTGCTATCTCCAATATCATCAGAACTCGTAACCATCCTTCGTACTCATAGTAGTCCAGTAGAGTAACATACACATCTAGATGTGTATAAGAGACAGGATCCCAAAAGTAGTCCTCAACCAACAGTCTCAATGTTGCTATCTCCAATATCATCAGAACTCGTAACCATCCTTCGTACTCATAGTAGTCCAGTAGAGTAACCCCCAGGGTAGACTTAGACTTAGAGGGTAGTAGGGGGAGAGAGAGAGAGAGAGAGAGAGAGAGAGAGAGAGAGAGAGAGAGAGAGAGAGAGAGAGAGAGAGAGAGCGGAGGAGGAAGAAGAGGGAGAAAAGGCGAGGCCTTTCTCCCTGGTACCTGGCGAGGCAGCTATGGCGCTGCGGGGCTGGCGCTGGGCCGCGGGCTGAGCCGGAGGCTGGCTGTAATCCGCTGCTGCGCTATTCCTCCTCGCCGCTGCGCTGGTTCTCCGCTGCTCTTGCTCATCCTAACGCTGAAACGCTGCGCTAATCCTGTAGACTAACCTACCGACTGAGGCTGATACCCAGCTGATATAGTGCTGGGTCAGCCTCAGTACTACTGGTGCCTTTGGGTCTGGACCGTTGACCAGGCCCAACGGTTCAGATCCGATTTTGAAATCTGAAAAGTGGCGCCTAAACTGCGCCGCCGGCCGGTCCTACCGATGGACCGGTACCTGGCCTAACCAACTAGCCGTTGGGTCAGGTGGGGTCTAAACGAGGCCTACCGGACTCTAAACAGAACCGACGGTTCCTAGGCCTACCTGGACCTAGCTGGGACCGTCGTGACCCAGTACCTAGGCCTAACCCGTGCCTACTACAGAGCCGGGCCCTAACAGGGGCCCGTGTGGTATCAGTATGCCACACCTAGTGAGTACCTAGTCTTCCTTTGGAGTAAGATTCAATGTGGCCACAGCGCAGCCGTGGTATGTTCAGATCGGATGGCAGGAAACGGTGTGCGACATGCATACTGAAAGCAGAGTCGAAAGTTCTCTAAACCCCTGCTGGGGGGGCTTAGCCCCAGATTTCGTCAGTAGGGGGAAGGGGTCTAGGTATCTGCACATGGGTTTGCTCTTTTCTTTTTTCCTTTTTTTTAGGGGAGTGGTCTGTCTATGAACAGTTGAGGGCTTTACCGCTCACCCATCCAACTGACTTACTACCGTCTTCGCCCGAATATTACGCCCAGTCATTATGGCCGTATTTGGGGCCATTTTCTGTCCAGATGCAGTGATAATGACCGGGCGTTCTATTCGGGTGAAGATGGTAGCATCACCCAGGCCACGTCATACCCCACCCTGCCCACATAGTACCATCCAGTGCACATAGTATGAACCTGACCCGTCCCACATAGTACCACCCTGTCCACATGGTACGACTCACCCCACGTGAAGCGACCCACATAGTATCACCCAGGCCGCAGAAGAATACGGCTCAGCCTGCATTGAGCCGCGTGGCCGTGGTAAGGGCCAAATTGTGCCTTGATGTTGGCTCCGTTATCTTCTTTTTTTTTTGGTGGCTGTGTCTGCCTTCTTTTCTCATTTTCTATGGGGTGTGTGTGTTAGTCCGATCCACTCCACATAGTATGACCCGCTCCACATGGTGCCGCCCCGTCCTGTGTTCCAATGGTCCCGCCAAACCAGCGTACCATCATTCAGGCCGTGTAATACTGCCCAGCTAAACCATAGCCATGCCAAGGGCGAAGTTGTCCCACCTATGTGTGCGTTTCTCGTTTGCGTGGCTCTGTGAGTGCGGTTTTTTTTTCCGCTTTTTTTATGATCATGTCTGTCGGTCCCATCCCATCCACATGGTATCGCCCGCCTCACACGGACGGGGGAGGCGAGGAGGAGGAGGAGCAAGTGTGTGATACTCACATCGCATCGCTGCGCCCTGCATCCGCTTCTATTAATAGTGATGGAAGCTCGGTGCCGCATCCCTTACATCAGATGTACCTACACAATGCTTTTCTCGCCGTTATGGTCGAGGAATCCAGAGACAGACAGCGGCATTGATTTCTAAATTTTGAATTTTCTACCCATGTGCCATGTGGGAGGATGTACCACAGCTCTACCCCTTCTTTTCAATTGAGTGTATCCGGTATCTTCTACACGATCACGACGACATTTATTGCTTCCCTTTGGAAGGATCAACTGCCCGATCTTAGCTGGAGCTTTCTTCTCTGCCCTATTACAAAAAAAAACAACTTCTAACTGGGAAAAGAAGACTGATGCGCTAAAACTTTCCTCCCAGATCGTCGACGCTGACTGTCAAAATGTCCTCTTTTAAAATTTGAATTTACTTTGACACTGGTCGGTCGGCTCTATTACTTCTGGTGGGTGGGTGGTTTTATCATTTTCTTTGCCTTTGTCTGTACTCCAAGGAAGGTGGAGTCGGCCTCCTGGCTATCTACACGTTCACTATCCTTTCTGTACAAGGTGGAGTGTTGCTCCTCTCAGCGTGTGTCTTATGGCCCCTGATTCTGGGTTTGGACCCCTGATTCTGGGTTTGATTCTGGGTTTGGACCCCTGATTCTGGGTTTGGACCCCTGATTCTGGGTTTGGACCCCTGATTCTGGGTTTGGACTTTTTGATCCCCGATTCTGGGGTTTGGACCAAAAACTACCGACTCTAGACCTTTTTTTCTGTGCAGATTTTTTTTACTGGGTTGGGTTCTTTATGGGTTATTCTTTTCACGTTCTTCATCCGGTACCTTTCAAGAAAAAAGAAAAAAAAAAAACAGCAGCCAGACAAATTGACAACCCCTTCCTTGCAGTGCATCAGAGAGAGCTTAAGGTCGAAACCAGCTCGCACGCAAGGCTGCAAACAGCTAACAGTCAGGAAAGGAGAATTAATAAATTATGTATGTATCAGACTGTGTCTTTCATGCCACAAGTCGCAGCCTCTGTCTTTCATGCCACGAGTCGCAGACTCTGTCTTTCATGCCACGAGTCGCAGAGTACCAAGCGTTTTGTGAGCAATCGATGGGCGCTTACAGCATCATACACCAATAACCAGTCATCCACTAATCACAACACACATTGGCCGACGTCAGCACGATAATCAGCGCACTTGCGCAATATGCACAGCATGGTCTTCACAGTGCCATGATACAAAAAATCGCAGACAGGGGCTCCAGCTAAGAACCCAAGAAAACAGAAAAATCACTGACCAGTACCAAAAAAAAATCAAGCCATATATTCGATCGTGCATTCTACGCTCTTGGTCTCATGCTTCAAATGTGTGTCGGTTCTCCTTACCTCCTCCCAGTTGTGTGCCCCAAAGTTGATCGGCTGTGAGATGTAATTGCCTATTCTTGGCTACGATGCACACAGGTTTCACAATGCAATAAATTCACCAGACACAGAGAGAGAGAGAGAGAGAGAGAGAGAGAGAGGGGGGGGGGGGGGGGGGGGGGGGGGG